CTACAGCCCTTGCGGATGATATAGATGATTTAATTAGGGCCATGGATAATGTCAAGATTTTTATCTATTAGATTTCTCGAAAGCTTTCGATAATAAAAATTGTACGATTTTACTTGTCATGTTGAAATTTTTTACATTTATTAATACATTTGTGTCTCTCTTATAATCATATTTTTATCAGCGAAAACAAATTGTTCAAATCTAGTGTACCTCAAGGTAGTATGTTAGGCCCTTTATTATTTACTCTCTATACCTCACAATTTCCAAGTATACTTAAATACTGTAATTACCATTTATACGCTGATGATATCCAATTATACTATACGCCATTTTAGTGTGATGTCATTTTGGTTCTACTGACATTTAATTCTAACCAAACTTAAAAAAAAAACAAATTAAATTTGACATATACGTTTTTACCGTTTTAAGTTTTTTTCTAAATATTGTCTACAGGTCATAAAAAATAGTTTAAAGGTATGAATTGATAACTAAACGATTGTATAGTCCTTCCATTATCAATTGCAGAACACAGTTATGTGGGGAATCATCAATATTTAATATATACGCACGGCACTCATGCCAAATTTAGAAACGAAAAATAATGTTTACTCCCCTTATACAATGCGATAAATATTAAACGAACGGTCAGTCCACGTGTACTTGATATATATGTGTCAAAATCCATCATCTCCGTTGTTTACCAATGAAAACATCGAATCGAAAACTTAAATGCACTGTATTGGCCGAAGGTTTACGGAGGGCAGGAGTGTTCGAAAATATTCCTAGAAGACAGTCTGCGATATCAGTGGAGTACTGTCGTGCGGTGTGTTTTGTATGTGTAGTTAAATTTCTTTTAATAAATATAAATATGGCGTTTTTTAGACCGTGGGCGACTGAAGAAAATGAAATTGAACAGTGTAGTGAGATTATAGACAGATATGACTTTAACAATAAGGATTTGAATAAACAAACACAACAAGTTATTTTAAATATATTCGAATGTTTAAAAAAGGAAAATATTCAGCAGTCTGATAATGCGATCATAATAAGAATTGCTGAATTAACTAAAGTAAATAAATTTTCCATTTATCGGGTAGTCACAAAAGGGGTTGCTGTGGATCATTCACAAAACCGAAAAACATGCAAAGAAAAACTGAAATCAGTTGACAGAGCTACCCAAGATTTTATACGAAGGACAATAATTTATATTTTATATAAGGAGAGCAGGAAGTAATACAGCAAAAGGTAGCAGATTTTCCAGGATACACTTATACCAGTTTGGAAACATTGCGTCAAGTTTTGTCAGCATGTGGTTTTAAACACAAAAAATTGAATAAACGGATAATCGTCAAGGATAGTTCAATGGCGACAAGATTATTTGCGTCAGATAAAAGAGTACAGAAGTTCTAATAGACACATAATTTATCTAGATGAAAAATGGTTTGACAGTCACGATGTAGTAAATTTCGGTTGGGTTGATAGTAGTAAAAATTGCTATTTGAATGGGCCTTGTTCTAAAGGGAAACGTATTATAATAGTACACGCTGGAAGCAAAGACGGTTTCGTGCCTAATGCTTTATCTGCTAAACAAATTAAAAACTGTGCAGCTGATTATCATGAAGATATGACAGCAGAATTATTTGAAAAATGGTTTAATGAACAGCTTTTACCTAACATTCCACCACAGTCAGTAATCGTTATGGACAACGCATCCTACCACTCGCGGCAACTCCTTAAAATACCAAATAGTAGCAGTAACAAAGCTCAAATTTTAGCGTTTATGTCTGAAAAAAATATTCCTATTCCTGCCAGTGATCGTAAAAAAGGCCCAACAATTGCTTACTGTTATTAAAGGCATGAAGTTGGAAAACATTTATTATATTGACAAGCTGTGCAAAGAACAGGGTCATACTCTTCTCAGACTACCTCCTTACTATTGCATATTTAACCCTATAGAGTTAATATGGGCAAACGTAAAATCAGAATTACGAAAATGTAATCAGTCTCCAGAACTGAGTAAAGAGGTTGTAGAACTCGTAAAGAAAGTTCTAGCAGCAGACCGCCAAGAGCTTTGGAAAAACTGTGTCGAACATGTTATTAAAGAAGAAGATGAGTATGTAGTATTACCCTCTTTACAACCCATCATAATTCAACCAAATGATGACTCTAGTTCAGATGATTCAGACTGCCATGATTATTTATAAAGATACTTTAGATACATTGTGATATTGTATATGGTCCATGTTTAAACATTTTCAAATCTGGAAGAATTCAAGAATTGCAGAATTCTTGTGTACGGTTAATATTGGGATTTCGTAAATATGATCATATTTCTACTAAATTTAAAGAAACTACATGGTTAAATATGGGTAATAGAAGAAGTTTACATTTTGGTTCTTTCAGTCAAAAATTATTTAATATGAAGACACCGCCATACTTGCATGAAAAACTAATATGTAGAACTGATATTCATAACCTAAATATTCGGTTTAAAGTCATACTTAGATTTAGCTAGTTTTAAAAAATCGTTTACATACAATGTCACAGTCCATATCAATAACCTGTTACAAAATGACCGACATTGGAATCTATTCTGTAACAATTCCTTTATATTTAACGGCCTTTAAAAATATTTTCTTCTTTACTTCTGTCATTATTTAAACGGATCTTTAAAATACATTAGAGGACTATCTTAAATCTGTTTAAATAATGACAGAAGTAAATTAACGAATAATGGGGTCTATTCTATAACAATTCCTTTATATTTAACGGCCTTTAAAAATATTGGCGGCCTTTAAAAATATTGGCCGCCTTTAAAAACATTTTCGTATTCGTTAATTTACTTCTGTCATTATTTAAACAGATTTCTTTAAGATAGTCCTCTAATGTATTTTAAAGATCCGTTTAAATAATGACAGAAGTAAAGAAGAAAATATTTTTAAAGGCCGTTAAATATAAAGGAATTGTTACAGAATAGACCCCATTATATTACTTTTAAAAGCAGAAACCTTTAAATGATGCTATAAAAATATACTGCTGCAAATACAATAATTACTTTTTTCTACTCTTTCTTTTCTTCATTCGCTCATTTATCTTTTCCCTTTTCTTTTTCCTTTTCTCATTAAACTTTCTTATAATTTTAGAAAGCCATCTCGAAAGGCATTTGTTTAGGTATATCACGTTTGCATTGGTGGAAGACCAAGGGTGGAAAATATCCGCACCTGAACCAATTTGAGCCAATTGTCTACTGACTTATTTTTAAATTTTAGTCGTATAAACCGTACGTTATATGTGGACGATAAATGTGTTATTATTAATGGTGATAGATTAGGCAATCTTTGGAACCATTCAATGAAACCCCTTCTGCCAATCCAGTGTTAAGGAAAATGTCCACAATGCGAGGAGGGTAGATTAAGTCTTCAAGCAAATTGAGGTAAAACTCAACCGTCGAGATACCAGGTAAAAAGGGACCAACAATATTATTACCCAAAATCCCAGCCCATACATTCAACTTTTCTGGATATATTGAATGCTGTTCTATCATAATTCGTGGATTTGAATCATTCCAGTATCTGCAATTATGTCGGTTGACGTTACCATTAAAAAAGAATGTGCATTCGTCAGAAAAGCATGTAGAATATAAAAAATTAGGATTCTTTAAAATTATTTCAACCATCTCTTCACAAAATTTTATATAAAGATCTGGACCGTCTTCATTGAGTTCATGCACAAGATGAATCTTATAGGGATGGAATTATGAAATCGATGCTCTTCCCACTCCGTTCAGGAGGATGAACATACATCCATGAATTAAGACGTTGAGTACGGGAGTGACGAAATAATAGTCATGTCGAAGGACGGGAAATTTTTTGGCACTTATCTTACTCGGATAAATCTTAATTTATAAATTTTATGTTTCAACAAATTTTTTAAGTTTTTGTCAATTGTTTCATTTTTTTTTTTTTCGTGGCTGAACGTTGATGCCTCGCCGTCTATATGACTAAATTCAGAAGGATGGACGGTGAGGCATTGATGTGATGCCTCATTTTTGCGCGTGGATTTACATGCATGCGGAACAATGCATTTGTACTGGAGCGGCAGTTGCTGCGTGTTTGAGCTAACGTAAACATAATGGATTATTTTGAGAAAGAACAAAAGAGATTACGTAAACTATGGGATAATTGCATGTCTGATGAAGACGGCAATTTGTTAGTGAATTTGACGGAATTTATCTGTCAATAATATCATAATATTGGTTATTTTTTATGTTAATTTAAACGCATTTATTTAGATTAGTTTTTTATAGCATGTTTCGTTTGTAACAAGTCGTTTGGCTTTACATTTTGCCTAATAACAATAATATTTAAACCGAATAAAATAAACTTATATAACACAGGATATGTCTCTTATTTTGTAGGCCAGCTAAACTTTTCTATTACTATAGACGCCTAATAGTGAGATCTTATGTTTGTAGCATTATATCGAAACCTACTTTTCTCCTTGCTACTTTTCTGACTGTGGCATCATATTTATGCCTCGCCGTCTCAAAGAAGATAAGCAGTGAGGCATCCCTTAAATGCCACACCGTGCTCAACGTGTTAAGGATCAAAAAGAGTTCCCCTTGAAATCAAATTCGATCGATCTCGGGGATTTCCCAAAAAAATTCTCCTAGAAAAATATTTCAGGTGAATCGTTTTAATTGGGACACTCTGTATAACATTTAACTTGTAATAATTATTTCAACAACGTTTTTCCCATATCACAAAAACTTCAAGGGATCCGCATAACGCCGCTTAAAATAACAATAGATCACTTATTAATACAATTTAAATAAATTGATTTTAAACGACTGACAAACCGAAGAATGAGTAGGTCAGAAATTATGCAAAAACAGATATCAGAAGTTGTCGAATTCGAAGCAGTAGGTCGGTCTATTTGTCTATTTAAATGTTTCGGAAAGTTTTAATATCATTTATATATTATAACTCATGAATATTTAATTAACTATTAATTTCGAAAATATTCCGCATAGCGCGTTTTTTTTCTTCTGTTATTAAATTATTCGGCGAGTAATCACGGCTGGTTTTAAAAGTTTTCGGAATTAGGAATTTTGTTGATGCCTTAAAAAATTATTAGGTAATGAGTAAATATTATGAACGCATTTCGAATGTTAATTAGTATGCTGAATCGCGATCTTGGAGGTTTTTAAAAGTTTATCAAAAATAATTAGGAATGTATTCGTTTTGTATTGGCTGGAGGCTTAGTTTAGGGTGCCCGATTAATTTATTGGCGCCCAACGACGAGTGTATTTATTAATTTATTTAAATATTTAAATTGTTTGATACATAAGTAGAATTAAAAATTAAAATAGAAAAAATGTAGGAAAAGTTAAAAAGAATAGAAAAGCTAAAGAAAAAATTGAATAAACGATTAAAACATTATAAATAGTACTGAGACATTGAAGAAGGATTTAAGTAAGTAAGTAATAAAGAATATAAAAATGTTAAATTAAAAAAAATGTAAAAATAAATTTGAAAACTACGAGAAGACGAATTCATAACAGAGAAAACAGGTTTTTTACTTTTACGATGATTTGATAGGAATAATAGAGAATAGGGGATTACCAAAAAGAAAATAAAGAAAAAGAAGAAAAAGAAGAAAAAAGAAGAACAAGAAAAAATAAAGAAAGAAAAAAAAAGAAAAATAAAAAATGAAAAAAGCAAAAAGAAAAAAAGGAAGAAAAAAAAAGGAAAAAGAAGGAAATAAGAAAAAAGAAAGAAAAAAAAAGAAAACAAGAAAAAAAGAAAATTTAAGGATCGACCGATACCGATATAGATATCGGTTTATCGGCCATATCTGCCTTCTGAGCATTAAAACACAAATATTATAAACTAATTTAAATTGAATTTTTATTTAGAATTTAACAAAAAAACATTTAAAAAAGTCAAAAAACATATTAGTTTAATATTTAAAGTTTTGATACGTTAAAATGCAACAAAATTAAACTTTCTGCTCTATTTTGGAAGTTTGGCGATTTCTTGTACTTTTTATATACAGGGTGATTCATTAAGGGTAACTACCGGCAGTATCTCAGAATATCTTAAAGTAGATTTTTTTTTAAAGAAACGCTAAATAAAACAGGTAAATATTTATTTCAAGGGGGACACCTTTATGTAGTATCCTCAACTGTCATAGGTCATTCCTACCCCCTTTGTCAATCTAACCAACACAATTTATACAGGGAAAGTAGCAAGTATGATATGTAATTTTATGGTGTTCAGGGTGGGTTGAAAAAATTTTTTTTTTCTTAGCATGGGGTAGAATTTGTACCTTATAAAGAAAGAAAATTTAACGTTTTAAAGTGGCTCACTCGTTTTTTAAATAAATATTTAATCAAATGGGGTAGTAGTTCCAACGGTAAATTCTTTTTTTAGTCCAAAATCGTGGAAAACATGTAAAAATTGTAGAATGTGATTTTTAAAAACTTTTTCAACTTTTGACTTTCAATTAATTGGCTTTTGAGGGGACATCCTACAGATTCTAGAATACCTTTTATATATTTTTTACTACCACCCGTTCTCAAGTTATTGATAGCAAAAAGTTGATTTTCTTGTAATTCATTTTTTCCTCATAGATGGCGTCTGATCTTTTTCTTTCTGAAGTTACATTTAAATTCAATTACTGATAAACATGATTACTGATATTAAAAATTATTTATAATTTTTTTACCTGTACTTTTTTTTAGTGAACTTTATCTAACAAGTGGTTTTTTTTTTGGTGTGTCATCGGCTTCAACTGCTAAGGTTATTTCGCCTCGTGTTCTGTGTAGGCTTTGTTACTGTTTCCCAGCGCCACTTTAGGAACAGCACTGTTAATTAGAACCCAACAGTGAATGGTCGAGTGGGGAATCCTACCAAGGCATCAAGAATTAATTTAAATAATTAAATTAAATGAAAAAATTTCGAAATTTTTTTTCTCAGTTTTGTGTTTAACAGTTTTACAATTGGTAACTTAAAGTGTTTTTTCTATTGAACAATAACATTGCCTCTTCAAATATAATTTATTTCTGATTCAAATTTTTCTAAATTATATCAGAAACAACAAAGATCTCCGTTTGTCTAATTTTCGGTATTCCTCAAAAATTTGAGCTCGTACCGGCAACACTGTTTCTAACATTATTTTGTTGCAAGTGCAATATGGAGATATTTAGGTTAATATTAGGTTGTGTTAAAATGAAAAGTGAGATAATGAACCGTCATATTGCTGAATTTCCCATAAAATTACCTCTTCGATGCTGTGTCATACTTGGTATTTTCTTTATTTAAATTGTACTGGGAACAGTGTAACCAGGATCTGAATTAGAGGGGAGGGATAGAACAATAAAAAAGTACAGTAGTTTTTCTTTTATCAGTTATTTTATAAACTTGTAGTACAATAGTAGTTTATTTTAATTGTTTTTTATATTTTTCCTACTTTAGGTGTATAATTTCTATTTATTAAAATTCTAGGGTCTGGGGGGGGGGCAGCAGCAATCCTCGCTGGGTACGCCCTTATGTACTGGTAAAAGTGACATGGGGGAGAGAAATGACAAGTGACAGTTGGGATATTACAGAAAGGTTCCTTCCTTGGAATCAAAATCGACCTGCTTTTGCGATCTACTTAGAGATATTCTGAGATACAACCGGTCTCCGCCCATAATGAATCGCCCTATACAATACCAGCTGGAGAGAATAGCTGTTCACTAGCCACACTACTTGGTGCAATAGAAGAAAAATTACTTATTTTTGTGCCCACCAAATTAAAGGATCTCCATTTTTGATAATGTAAATTTTAAAGTCACCTTCAACTTTATTTGTCGTATCAGTGTAAGTCTTCTTCCTATATTGTCCCTCATCGGACTTCAAAAAGTGACACGTCGTGTTTGTAGTTGGTACAGGGGAGAGAGGGTGAACAACATATACTATGTCCCGGTGATGGGAGCTGTCGTGTAACCTTTTAAATTAAAAATAATATTTCCTATCGATGGATTTTTTCGTTTTTTTGCTGGCAATTAAATAAATTGCTTCTAGGCGTCTATAACAATAAAAAAACTATCGATGTAAGGAAATTGCTACACTTACACCGAAAGTAGCAAAACCAAACGAGAAGAAATGCTTGCAAAGAGATTTTTTATGGTTATAGACGTCTGAAGTAAATTATTACATATCCAGCAAAAAAGCGAAGAATTCCAGGTTATATAACAGCTCCCACCACCGGGACATAGTACATGTTCTTCACTACCCCGTACCCAATTACAAATAGCAAACAAAAAACACAAAGTCACTTTTTGCAGTCAGATGAGGGGCTAATATGGCGGTGATTTACTTGCTGTCATACCGGTAAGTTCTTCAAAGGTATTCATTCCAAAGTAAACCTTGAGAAATCGAGTCAGGGACATTGTCCTGAACTTTTGGATATTTTCGAATTTAAAATAATGACAAAATTAAGAATATAAAAATGCTGCAAGATTTGATATTAAGAAAATGTTTTATAAAAAAATAGGAAGATTACAATTTTTAAATACCTCATACAGTGAAGTTTTGACGATATAGATGATATGCAAAAAAAAGTAATCAGTTATAAATGAAAAAATTACTTATATACTCGTATTTTATGCTTAAGGAAAGAATACTTAAAATGAGGATAAGTACTTAATACGAAATAATAATTGATAAATGATGAGATAATAATATATAATGAATAATGAAGCAATTAATGAAGAAATAAATAATAATGAATTCGAATGTAAAGAGAGTTGAGAATTAGTCATGGTATTTCACTGTAAAACTTTTTTTTAGAACTTTAGAACCACTTAAGATATAAATATTTGTTGTCGATTTAATAATTCCAACCAAAATATTTGAATACAAATAAAATATATTATTTTATTTTATAGCTACTACCTACTTTAGAAACACTTGCTTTCTTTAGTTTTTATCAATATTATTCTCAATTTAACAATATCTATATAAAAACTTTTATTAGGTATATTTCGTTGAACTGGTTTATTTGAGATTTCCCAAATTAATTTGTGATCAGCTGTAATTGCTAAATTTATAACATCTGTTTTCTTCAATATAAATCCTTCGTTTAATTGCAGGACTTATTATAACCCATTTGTAATGTTTTAATGGCACAAAAAGAATAGAACATGCTTTATTTTTATTTAAAGTTAACCCTTGATCTTTGCAATAAGAGAAACTTCATCGATCTTAGCAATTAATTTTTCTGTAACAAACACAAGTGCTATGAAATAATTGGTATTAGGTATCGACATATTTGGGAATATCGTAATTTGAAAATATATCATTCATTATATAGGTACGTGAAATATTTATATTTAGATTTTGTTATTTACATTGATTGATGATATAATCGAAATGCTTTTACTTTATTTTATCAATTTAATAATTTAGTCAAGATAAATATTATTTGACAGTCCAGTAGTCGTTTTTTTTTTTTGGATTATTACTTTTCCCGATAATACAACTGTTTTTTTTTGTCGCTTATTAGTGTATATTCACCGACTTCAACAAACTATTTTGATCTGTCAGTTCATGTTCTATGATAGTATCGTAAAATATCTTCCACATTTCGTTCAAATAGTTTCAAATCGTGCTTAGAAGCGTTCACGGTTTCACGTTTTACATCAGGCAGATTTAACGAACTTTTAATCTTTTATTATTCCATATCATTTCATGGATATTTTTATAGGTACTGGCCAGAAGAGAGCATCTAGATCAGTATTTCCTAAAGTGGTCCAGGTGGATCCCCAGAGGTCCACGGGAGACTCGACGGGGGTCTACGTTGGGCGTAAGCGGGGGTGCATGAAAATTAATTGGGTTTCGTTAGTAAAGCAATATACTATTAACCAATTGATTACTCATCTTTCCATGTGATGAAGAAATTCTTGTAAAAAACTTCAACTGTCTATGATATAAACAGTCAACATTTTAGTTACTAAAATGTTGACTTGACTTCTCTTATCAATATAAGCAGATAATATTTTAAGAAGCTCAGCGACTGTTACTTGTAAAAACTTGCATATTCCATATTCAGTACAACGCGTCGAGACTTGTCG